ATGGAGGCATGTCAATGGCAGCGAGCAGCTACAGAAGAAGTGGGCCAGCGGCATCCACATCGGCTCCTTCTGGATGGGGCTGTTGGTGCCACCGCTGTGAGGTGAGAGAGTGGAAAAGACATCCCCTGAAAATAAGACCTAATGCCTCTTTTGGAGGAAAAAAAATATAAGACCGGGTTTTATTTTCGGGGAAACACAGTACTAGATAAATGAAATGGGCAGTAATCAGCATGTTATGAACCTTTAGGAGGTTCATGTAGTTGTAGGAGTTGGGACTCTTCATTCTCTTCCTGCAACTACATGGAGAAAGACATCATCATCAAGTTTAGTCCCACAACTAACATGGAAAAAGGCACAGAATTATATTAAAATGTCCAAAATCACTCATAAAACAGAAAAATGGAGCATAAATATTAAAATTATCTACCCCTAAAATATATGTTATAATTCTTAATTGAGATAGGTTCATCCCCATAAATGAATTGTCCCATCTATATGGTATACAGTTAAAAACTCTACTTTATCAGTTTTTTAAAAAAAAATAAATAGCAAATAATTTCACCATAACAAAATAATTTCATCTTAACAAAAAGAAAATCAGTCTTATGTTGCTGGTCTAATTTAATTCTGCATTTTTACATAAAATGGGAATTACATTATCTGAAATGAGTCCAGCTATGTTCTAAAACATCTTATCCAGGATGAATGACATTTTAAAGCATGTGAAGCCCTGCAGCTCCCAAAAGTAATCACACACATATAACATATTGAAGGGCCCAGAATTTTAAACTATAGTAAAATAACAGAGTTTTACCTTTAACTTCCAGCAGTATTACAGAGGTAAATATGCTCAGTGATTTAATTATGAACTTATCACAGTAAATAAAATACTCCAAGATTTGCAGAATATAAAGCAATCATCCCATAGTGTTTTGATCCTCTCCCATGCATGCTGCAATCTTAAATTCACAAAATAATAATTCTAATGGTATATGTTGAAACTTCCTTAATGAAAGAGAATTGTTGGATCAGATTATGATTGAACTTCCCCAGATACTTTCTTAAAATGGCCAACTCAGGTCACATAAGGAAGGCATAATTAGAAGTATTCGAATTGTATTTATTTACATTAATAGTATATACTTCCTAGGAAATAGTTTGCTTGATAATATTTAATTAGTGTGGTTAAAAGGCATACTAATTTGATGCAGCAGAATTCTCTCAGTTGTTCTATAGTTACTATTGCCTCTATCAAAAATGATAAAATGTCAAAGTGGTAGTAAAGTGGTGAATCATAAGATTGTGTTTGCATTCCTAACTCTGAATTCCTAGGATGACTTTTAAAAAAATAATGCCGAAATTGGAAAAGTGGTGATTCCCCCCCAACCAATTGCATAACATGATAATAACTCTCTTGCAGAGTTTTTACAGAAAATCTGAATATAAATGTTTTAAATGGGTCTAGATTACAGAATCATCAAGACATGTGTAGTTATAATATGCAAGCTTAACACTGAACTGTTCTTGAAAGATATTTTGTAGAATTTTGTATATGAATTTCTGTAGTTCATAAATATTGCATAGATGGTTATTTCCATAATGAATATTTGAAAATCTGTCATAAAATATTTGAAAGCATCCAAACAAACATAATATTTCATAGAAATTTCCATTCTAGCCATAGATTTCCACTAATTACTTGAACAGCAAAATGCCCAGAGTTGCTGGGAATTCAGGTGGCATGTAAATATAAAACAACAATAACAACTATGGAATATTATTTTACATATGTTCTATAATTTTGTAGCTTCTGTAAAATATCAAATGTTATTTCAATGCATAAAAAATTTTAAATTTACTTTTTAGGATAAATTTGGACTGTAGAACAAGGAGAAAAATTCAGAAAATTCATATAAATATAAGGTAGAGAAAAATCTATCACTCAAATTATCACTGCATAATTTGAACTATCAGAATTTCATTTAAACTCCAAAGGTTAAGGAATTATAACTCTTCGAGTACTAAAAAAGAAAAATGTTCAGTATGTGACTCAGGAGAACTTACATTATCTGTATTTATTGTGTACTACATGAAATTACATTTGCATCTTTTGCTTTTTCACTAAAAAAATATACATTTATCCCAAATAACTGTAACGTGAATATCCTTTGAAGTATTCTTCTCTTTGTACTTGTATTGACTCATCTATATTCTTATAACCTTATAGCACTTTACTTACAATTTTTGACCATATCTCTCTTTCAATCATCCATCCTCATTAAGTTTTCTGTCCTTATCTTCAAAGCTTCATGGGCTCTTTACTCCTCACCTGCCTGTACTTTCATCCTGGCCCATCCAGGTTCACTATCCTGAGTCGTACAAAGTTTGCCTGCTCTATAAAACAATTCTATTCCCTTTGCTGATCCCTGTGTGTTGAATTCCCTCCAAGAATGTCACAATTCAGATTTTATATTTTAACACACCTTTCAAAACTAATTATTTCCTTACCATCCTTGGAATATTGTTCTATTTACCTTATTGTATCCCAATGAACATACAATAAGAAAATAACTTGTTTTGCCCTTGCTTTCATATACTGTGTTTATTTATATTTATGTCATAGAAGGACATCTCTCTGTTGTTTCTGCATCTATTTTAGGCTACAAATGGTCCTCCAGATAGGAAAGCATAATATCAGATCTTTGAAAATATAATGTACATTGAAGGGATAGTAACAAAATTAATAAAAAACAATGTATTAACTAAATATGAAACTGGAATGTAGCCAGTGATAAAATATAGACCTAGGAATGATGAAATAATTTGGAAATGAGTCTTGTGTCTATAATGCTTGAAAGAGAACTTTCCTTTGTTTTACGAAGAAGCATTTTCTTCATTTACTAGAATAGAGGCATTTTCTTCATACATTCTTGGTTCAGTTTTGGTTCAGTTTTCCAGAGAGGTATTTCAGAACATGCACAAATCCTTCTGCAGACTCAGACTTTGAATTTTTCCTACATTCTTTATCTTTTTCCCTACCCTTTCATTTTTAGTTTTTAAAGACTTGGAAATACACGTTTAGTGCCTATGTCAGCTTATCATGACTGAAGAAGGTTTTTACATTTGGGTTTGCAAACTTTTGTAAACATTTTTTCAATCCAGCTAAAGGCACGTTATTAGACCAAAATAACTGACCACTAGCATTTACTATGTAAGCTCCTTCCCATCACAATAAAAGTACATTTATTATATAAGGTTGATTCTGCATTGGTTGCTTAATAGGGAACTACTGAAGTATGAATTTCTCTAGAATCACAAGTACTTTCTGACACAAATTATCTTTATCATAATTTCAGATTTGCAGGGGCTGCTGTAGTGAATTGCTTACACATTTCATAGACATCTGCTCAGTTATAGATATCTGACTAAAAACATATCTGACAGGTCAATTTGAAGACTTCACTTTCACCTTTAAAAAACACTTAGCTAGCTCCTGCATATAAATTAAATAGGTCTAATACTTACAAAAAGAATAATGGGCTATGAAGTAATTTGGTTGCCCTTTTTCCATCAAAATTTCATTGGTATAGTACTAGTTCCCTTAAATATTGTTCTTTGTTATTAAGCTTTTATATTTGGGGACTCCAATGAATATTTATTTTATATCCTGCTTATTCATTTACAAATAGCATTAAAGACAATAGACTTGGGATATCACTTATGAGTTCTAGCAGAATATGCAAGATTGTTCTCCATGTTAATCTTGAAGTACTCACTAAAAACAAACTATCACGAGAATCAGGAACATACCTGTCAATTGAGGAATATTGTTACTATTATTAAGATACTTGTCTGGCATGCTTCAGATGTCTTGTACACATTAAATTTATAGACTGGTTCACACATCATATTAAGCCATTGTTTATTTTAAGCTTTGGTGAGTAGACTTCAATATCCATTTACAGAGATGCTAAGCATGAAGTTGGGTTTATAAACCACATTGCTAATATGTTTTGTTCACCAAATATGGTAAATATGGTATGTTATGGAGTAAGGTGATATTTGAGGAATAATATATTCTCTTAAGGTTTAACTTTGCCCACTCTAATATCTCTAAATAGCAAGAAAAGTACTTGTATTAATAAGATATATATATTCTGACTAAGTGCAAATTGTGTTTCTGGCAGCATAAAGATATTGGCACAATTACACTCCATGGCATGCCTGCTTCTGAGTCAGTTTGCACTGAAGAGCACATTCACATGTTAAAAGGTAAATACAAGGAAGAATTCTTTACCTCTTAGGATGGGAGCTAATTTCTTATTGCGTTATATTGATTATTCAGGACAAAACTTGTCAACAAATACTCAGGGACCATAGAAAAGATTCAATTCCTGAGTAAAGGCATTGCTTTGAACAGATCCTATAGATTTAACTTATAAAACAGGCTGTCATTCTAATGTATTTATACATGTTCAGGATAGATACAGACGACAGATAGATAGATAACATGTATGTGTGTGCATATACATGCTGAACATATATGCATACATGTATATGCATGCTGAACATGCATGCTGTGTATGCATACTGACCGTGTGTGTGTGTGTGTGTGTGTGTGTGTGTGTGTGTGTGTGTGTAAAGAGGGGGGGAATCTCGCGACGGAGCAAATTTATGATGTGGCGCTCGCCAGACCGCTAGCTCAAGGTTTGTCCCTAAGAGGCCACTCGTCCCACCAGCGTCAAGCCTTGCTCGCTCTCCGTACCTCTTCCGACAAACGCATTTTCAAGTAAACTGTGGTATGTGTCACCTCTTCCCCGCCTGCTCAAAAAGAGTCAGTGCCACGGATAGTTCCATAGACCTTATTGGTGGTTGCTGCACGATGTGTGCGCGCGCGTGTCTTCTGTAGTGTGCGAGAGGAGCTAAACACAAGCCGGCCGGTCGCGCGCCGATTTCGTTCTACTCCCCCCCCCCCAACCTGTCCCTCCTTGCTCTCCCTCCTGGGACTTTCCCAAGTCTCTCAGCCAGACCTTTTCAGAATAATATAGTTGTGCCATTCAGGTGCGGCGGCCACGACCGACCTGCTCCGACTTCTTCTGTCGACGAGTTCTCTTTAGGAGTCCGGGGGTTGTTTCCAATCCACGGACTCCAAGCTCGTGACAGAGCGCGGGGCCCCCAGGTGCCCAGGCAGCCCAGTCAAGCTTCGCGCGCTCACAGAGACGCGCAGGTTACAGACTCTCTGCTTACAGAGCCGCTGCCGCTCTGCTTACAGAGCCGCTGTGGACAACGGTGCCTGCAGGCGCCCAGAAGCCAAAGCTGCGCGGAACTGAAAAGTCAGCTCCTGGTTCTCTTCCTCTTCCTTGCCAAGATCCCTTTCGCCTCGGACTCTTCTTTCCCTTGGGAGCGCCTGAGCCGTCGAGGCAAAAATGGGCGCCGGCGAAGCAAACCGCGGACCCTTTAAGTCAAGAGAGGCTGAGTGGGAGGAGAGTTTGTGGCGCGGCGAGTTTGAGGGAGCGCATAAGTAGCCTGTGGAGAGCGAGGACGCGGCCAACCGGAGCTCTTGGCTCTTTTCGCTGGACCTTCAGGAGATCCGCTCCTTCCAGTGCTGACCGGGAAACGGCTCACAGTCAGTCTAGAAGAGAACACCCGCCGCCTGAAGCCCTCGCTGCTCCAGTCGCTCTCCGCGGCTCCTCCTTCCGCCTTCCTCCCACATGGGGCGCGGGGAGCTTTCTTTCGGCCGCCGGGGCTGCTCCTAGGGAGTGCTAAGGGCTCCTCGCAAAGTGACACCCGCAGCGGCTGCGGCAGAAGGAGGCGGGGAGGCGGCAAGAAGAGAAGCGGGGGGCTTTTGCTCTGCTAGGTGCTTCCCCGTCTTTCCCTCCGTTCCCGGTTTCCGCTCGGCGGTCTCCGATGCGTTCCTGGCCCCGGCAGGCGACGGTGGCAACCCTGCGGGAGGAGCCAAGGGTGGCGCTACTTTGATGTTCCTGGCCGAGAAGCGTCAGAAGAGCTGATCCTTCGTGCCCAGGATGATCGAGGAGGACGCTGCTCTGAGGAACGGCGGCAGCGGGCTCTCGGGCCAGTGGGCAGACGCGGCGGCCGCTCGACCCCGCACCACCGAGCGACATATAACGGTGCATAAGCGCCTGGTGATGGGCTTCGCCATCTCCATCCTGGCCCTGCTGGTGGTCACCATGATCGCTGTGCTGCTCAGCGTGCGTATCGAGGAGTGCAGCAGCGGCACCGCATCTGACGACCCAGGAGGCAGGGCGGGCAACCGGAGTGTCCCGGCGGCAAATGCCGCCGCAGCCCCAGCAGGAAGTGCCCGCTTGAACCAGAACAGCGCCGGGGAAACCCCTGGAAGTGCAGGGGAAGAGACAGTGGCGCTAGAAGCTGTTAGAGGGGAAGAGGAGGAAGAGGAGTGGCCGAGGCGGCGGGAGCAGCAGCCCTGGACCAAGCTGCGCCTTCCCGGACACCTGCGCCCCCTCCACTACAACCTGATGCTGAGCGTCTTCATGGAGAACTTCACCTTCAGCGGCGAGGTCAACGTGCAAGTCGAGTGTCTCAACGCCACCCGTTACATCGTTCTCCACGCCCACCGCATGCACATCGAAGCAGTCCGCGTGGCTGAGGACCGGCTGGCCGGTGCCTTGAACGTCTCCGGGTTCTTCCTTTATCCACAGACCCAGGTCTTCGTGATAATCCTCAATCGGAGCTTAGAGGAACAGAGAAGTTACAACCTCAAGATCCTCTACAACGCCCCGATCGAGAACGAGCTATTGGGATTTTTCCGCAGCTCTTACGTCCTCTACGGGGAAAGAAGGTAGGTATCGATCTCCTTTCCATGCTTGCCCTTTCTTTATCCTCTTTCCTTTCTTTATTGTGTAAAGTCGGAAAGACAAGTTCTTCCTGAAAATTCCTGCGTAAGGTTACCATTTCTGTTAATATATACTCATGTTAACCAAAAGTTTAACTCCCCAGCACCCCCAAAACTTTATTTTTTTAATTTAACATTTTATCTTAGACAATAAAAGATTTTATAAGGATCTTTAATACATCTCCTGAAGTGTCAGAAATGGATATGTTTGGAGTTAAATATACTTGAATTAAACTTCTGCAGAAGTTTCCATCTGACCTTACTTAAACTCTATCCTGTACCTCCAGCAAAGTTCAGATTTTACTTAGTCAGGATCTGATCAATTAAATTTGGAATTTAACTGTCCTTCCATTTGCACCTTATTTACTGGCTTAAAGTGTGTATAAACTTTGTAAAAAAAATATTTTCAATTTTACATTACATTCATAAAAATACTTCAGATAAAAAGTGAAATAAATTTATACACACAACTTTCGATATTGCTCACCCATTTCCCCCCAAACCGCACCCACCCTCTAACCTCTTCTCTCACTTCCCTCTTCTTCCTCACTCTCCCCCTCTCCTCCTTCTCCTCAACCTTCCTACTTATTTCTCCCCTTCCTCCTATCTTCTCACTCCGGATGCAGTCCAGAGGAAATGCCCGAGCAATTCCTCTCTCCAAATTAAAACATCAATATTATATACAATAAAACTATTTCTACTTATCTGAGCTATTTAACCAGCAACATAACCTTGTTTTAGGATACTTTAATTCTGAAATGCAGTTAAGAGAGATCTCTTCTTACTATAGCATTACTAATAGCAAAGTAATTTTATTCTGCTATACCTATATCTGCACAATGGGGTCTCCCTGCATTTATTCTTGGTTTCATTTCACAAAAAGGCAAACCTATCCGAATCCTGTGTGGCAATCCTAGGAAGAAGGGGAACAATTCATTGTACTTCATTAGATTTTTTTTCCAATTTGGTAGGGAAGTGGATTTTACTACTCGTAGCTTGTAACAGTAATTGACACTGGGATGTTAACAGAATAATTTGCAGGTGTTATTCAAATCTGTAAGAGCTGTATTTGACTAACAACTATTTCCTACAACTCAGCATAAGGTCCAAGATGGGATAGGCAACCTGGTGTCTTCCCAATGTTTTGGTTTTTCAGCTCACTGATAGAATGCCAATAAAAAGTATCTGAAGGCTGCAAATTGGTTACTGTTGCTATAAGAGAAATTAGTCAATTCTTTTTAACTTGACGTTGTTCCTTATGCATTTGTTTACATCAACAAGCATAAAAATTGAGATAAAAGGAACTTAGTTTTATAGAATTTAAAGAAGCTTCTCTTGCTGAGAAGGATTTAGAGTACCATCTACAGTATATTGAGAAAATATTTTGTTATACATTCAATTGGGCTGCAAAGGACTTTAGTAAACTTGTTGAGAATTTTAGAGCAAGTTTGTGTAAATATTTTACAATTAGGGGTGGTGGTTTAGACCAGCTTGATAGTAAACTAAACATGGATTTGCTGGGAGAGCAGAAACAATGAAGGGGAAGTTTCAGAAGTAGAATTTCAAATAGAGAAAATCACTCCTTTCCTTGTTATGATTTTAGACCACTAATGCTGTAGTAAGAAGAGATCACTCTTAAATAGTTCATTTCCCTTTTCAACCACATTATAGACCAGGTCTGTTAAAAACAGGTTTAGGTTTTTTTGTTCAGCAGATCAAAGATCAGAGCCCAGCCCTAATTCCTTAAAAAAAGCTTTAGCTTAAAGCAAGCAGAACTAAATTTATAATAACTTTGTTATCAGAAATATAGAATGAATTTATTTTCATACTGAACATCATTGAAAATCCAACCTTAATCTTATTCTGTACACCTCATAATTTGAGAGTTTCTCTTGAGCAACTAGTTTACTTAAACCATTGCCATCCAAAAAGTGAGAATGCCTTCACCTTAGTTATGCCAACAACCTGTATATATAACTTTCCTCAAAATGTATGAAATGATTTTTCAGCATAAGGATCCATTGAAAGGATATTACCTCTATACTTCATGCAGCAAGTATATGCAGGATCACAGACATCAATTTTCATTGCTTTAATAAATGATGTTATAGTTATGATATGCTTTCTAATGTATCTCCACAGAGAAATATAATTTGAGGCAAATTACCTTTCTAAGCTGTATAATAATTTATTAAACTTGTTTGCTACCAAACTCTGTGGAAGTGGACTCTGGAAGCTACAACTATGAAAACAAGAAATTACAATAAAACATTAAAAATAAAAAAATGGCAAGTGCAAAGAAGTAATTGAAAGGTTGTGGCAAAATTATAAGTAATCAATGCACATGCAGTAATATAATAATTACAAAGAAGTCTAAGTGTATGTACACATAGAAGAAATAATACCAATAGTTTTTGATATATTATCTATTTACATAGTTGTTTACTGATCATACATTTATGTTGCAGTTTTGTACCCATTTATCTGCAAATAATCTTCAATGAATACTATGGCATTTTCTTCTGAGTAGGCTGTTATAGAATTGTTCTGTTATCAAAGGATTGCACAAAACAAAATTTTAAATTGCTGTAAATTGGTCCAGCTCTATTTAAGTCAACAGATCAATACTTAATCTCACATAGAGAGGATCAAGCACTTTGTACTTTTCTGAGAGAGAAGTAAAGTATTTTTGAACTATAGACCTCATTGGATTGTTTAATGTTTTCATTTTGAAATATCAGAACTTTATTTGGCAATCATGATCTAGAATACATTTCTGTGGAAAAATATGCCTGAAAGTTTGGTAACCCTATAACAGTTGGAAACAGGATGATCTATAATTACAATGATTTCAGAGTTTTCATGGGATTATGTAGCAGTTAAGAAAATTAGTAATCAGCATACAAATATCAATCAACATTCTTTGGAAATAGCCTAATGATAAATAACGGCTCCCAAGCAGGTATATCCTTTGACTTGTTTATATTTAATTAACTTTAATAGACATATATTTCCTTTATCTGTTCATTTGATCCAATAGTTTTGTAATCCTAAATTTTCCATAAAAATGATAAAGGAAGGTAGGGTTAATCTCTTGACTATATCAGCAAATACCATAAATATTTCTAAAATATTGGTGAGACTCTAAAAATGCTAATTTTTCTATAGAGATAATTTAATCTTTGATGGTCTAAAGTAAAATCAAAATACTACAATAAAAGTGATTTTAGTTGTCATTGTACACATTGTACATTGACATAAAGGTATTTTAAGGGACATCATATACAGATAGTCCTAAAAATGAACTGGGTATCTGATTTTGTATATATTTAGAATAAAACAATTCTTTCAATCCTAACAGCTTTGTTACTTTTCAAAACTAATTCCTAGCAAAATGTTTTAGGAAACATGTCTGCCTTTTTAATAGAAAAGGTAGAATTAAAATACATACAAATTACTGTCATCTGTATTTAAGAAAGCCATCCTGTAAGTTTTTCATTCCCATAATTACACATTTGGGATGTAATCCTGTTATCAGCTAATATGCATGTAAATTCTGAAGTTTAAGCAAAGCATATGCAGGATCACAGATTTCTATTTGCATTGCTCTAATAAATGACTTGAAAGTCAAGATATGCTTTCTAATATATTAAAACCACCATGTTATTAAGTACCCCTCAAGGGCCACTAGCTATGAATACATTTTAATCCTCTAATTCATCTTTACTTTCAACAAATATCAGAATATATAAATAAGCTTTTACTGCATTTCATTTATATCCAGCACACAGAGCACAATGTGTTAGAACATAATTATTTATGCTCGGTGAAGTTAATAGAAAGATATGATTGATCTCTCACACATATAATGTAGTATTTGAGGGCTAAGAATGGCATTTGCAAATCTTTCATGAGGCAGAAATTATCACCAGGTCAACATCAGTTTCATCTATAAATAATTTTTAAAAAGCAACTTTTCAATTTGGTCCTTTTGATACTTATTATGAATCTAAAGAATGCCCACATCAGTTCATCCACTCTGACTGAAAATTTAGTTCTACAATTAATTTTGCTCCAGACATTCTGGCATCAGCAGTTTGGAATTACATAGAACAACCAGTTGTCACAAACCTGGTGGGTAAGCTTTGACATGTTTTAATTTGAAATAATTATATCATTAATCATTTTTAGAATGTATATTTTCAACTATCATGTATGTTTCAACTTATCACAATGAATTTTTAAAGTCAGTGTAATGATTTAGCTTTTATTGTAGGAATTTTAATAATTCTTTTTAATGAGGGTTTTGAGATTATGCCAAGTTGAAGAACTAAATACTTGAAAATATTACTCAATTAAAATACAAAAAACTTGAATTTTTTTAAAAGTAGTCTGGGAACATGAAGAGGCATTAATAAGAAAACAAGTGGGACTTAGTATTTATTTAAACATCTAATAATTTAGAACATGTCTTGAATTTTCAGTGAAATGATTACAGAAATATAAATATTGTAGGCATGATCAAACTTTTAAAACTGTTGTTTTAATAGGCCTGTTTCATTTGTCAAAGTTATATGCATTTATTTGAAAAATAGTAGTAATATTTGGTCTCTGAAGACCATAGAAAATATTGTCAGACATATACACCAATATAAATTAAAATCATGTTTTGCCTAAGTTTCATGCAAATGCATGGTTAAAAGAAATTGATCAAAATTTCAAAACTTCCATCAGCTTTGTAGTTCTGTTATACAGAATTTTTTCTTCCTGGATGAAAAAGAAATACAAAAATTATACAGAAATAAAATGGAGGTTTTAAATCCTTCAACTCAGTAAAACAAGCAGTCAGAGTCTTAGTTGTTGTTACAATATGAGGAATAAATGTATGGGCATGTCAACATATAGAATGGGGATTAATTTTCAATGATGTTTAAACATTCACCATCCTTCCATCATTAAATATGTATTTTTCCAGTGGAATTAGATAAAGCCAAGTACAAACAAAATGCTATAGTATGGCCATGGGATTCCATGTTCCTCTTTTTCTGCAGGTTTGAAAAAGAGATTATTTTTAATTCCGATGTTGATTGATTTGACTGACTAATTTGCAATATCCCATTACAACCAATCTAGCAAATTGTGCTTTATTTTAGTTAACAACCCTGGCTCTGAAAGCAATCCTTGTTTCTGGTTTGTTTTGTAATTTGGAATTGCAATATATACAAAACCAAAAGTAGAGGTTTTCAGTCCTTCTTTTAATGGGCAAATAAAGAGGGAAAAGCTAGCCCCAAATTGCTCTTTGAATTAAGCCAATGATTATATATTATTATATAATTATATATATTATATATAATTATATATATTATATTATATAGAATTATCAGATAAATATTTTCTCTAGTATGTAATTTTGGTTTTATGTTTCATATTATTGCTTTTTCAAACACTCTCAAATTCAAGAAAACATGTTTTTTTTATAAAAAACACTATAAATACAGATATGGCTATAATAATTATAGTTATACACAATGAAAGGTCATTCAAAACCAAATAACTTTAATCCAAAGGGGGGGAAATGTTGACAAAGCTTCACAATGACTTTGCTGTTGCTCTTTTTTAATTGCAAATTTCCTGCAAGTTAATCCTTTTTTCAGATCAACCAAGTGTTGCTCCATTGGGAGTTAACTGGCAAAAATTGACCGATTATCACTCAAGTCTGATATTGTGGGCAGAGAGTGTGAGCAACTGGTTCAACGTCACTCAGCTGATCTAAGGCAGGATTAGAATTTAGAGGCTTCTGGTTTCTAGCCTAGTTTCTTAACCATTAAGTCCAAACTGGCCCTTTTTTGCATTGCAATATTTTACTTTTTTTTTTTTTTTTTGCATCCAATTCTGAATAAAAACATTTTTTTTCCTTCTAGGTTTCTTGCAGTTACGCAGTTTTCACCTACACATGCCAGAAAAGCCTTTCCTTGTTTTGATGAGCCTATCTACAAGGCCACATTTAAAATCAGCATCAAACATCAAGCAACTTATTTATCTTTGTCCAATATGCCAGTGGAAACTTCTGTTTCTGAAGAAGATGGATGGGTTACGGATCATTTTTCACAGACTCCACTCATGTCCACATATTACTTAGCTTGGGCTGTTTGCAATTTTACATACCGTGAGATTACCACAAACAATGGTGTTGTAGTAAGTATTGCTTAGTCTATATAATTTCATTGGGAAACATTTTGGGAATGAACAGGACATGTTCAGATAAAACTGTTTAGTTATTCAGCAATGTCTCTTTGGTTAATGACCATTTTAATTTATAAACATCCAATTAGCACCTTATACTGATAGCCTGGAATATTTGCTTAATCTTTAAGAGTCAGTAAAGAAAATATAGGATTGGACTGTTGAATCAGCTTTAAGGACTTGTTGCAGCTTTTAATATAGATTTATTTTATTTATTTGTATTTATTTATTTAATTTATAACCTGTGGCAATCTGGCAGTTCTCAGCAGCTAGCAGCATCTACAAAAATTAGTGAAAGGAACTGTTCTTATTAAGAGCTTAGGTGCATCCTTCTTTGCTTACTTGATTTATTTTCAAAATTTGTATGCCATCTTTCAAAAGCAGGTTTTCTCATGGATGTTTAGTTAGTAATGAAGGATTTTCTCCCTGTTTTTCAAGTACAGTGGTACTTTGGTACTCGTCATTAATTGGTTCTGGAAGGTGTGATAGCAAAAATGCTAAGTATCAAACAATTTTTTCCCATAAGGAATAATGTGATGAGTCAACAAGTTTTAGCTTGTGCATTGAGTACCAAACAACTGACAAGTACCGGGACAAAGTTTTTGCATCAAATTCGATGAGTTTCAAAGCAGTTGAGTACCAAGGTATCACTGTAAATAGTGATTTTAAACATATTTCTGATAGTGCTTGAATTATACATTGCTAGAGTTTGGAATTCAAATATCAGCCTACTTAAGACTGATATTTTTTCTTAAGATCAACAGTGGAACAAATTATGTAAAGCAATCTGGAGTCATCAAATGCTTTGTGGTCTTTTAATTAAGCCATTCTATTTTCTGAATAAAGGGCTTTAATATTTGAAGCTGATTGTGAAAAAGAAGCATCAACATAGTTGTCTCAAGAAGATACTAGCTATTGCTAGAATTGACCACCTAAATTTATTTTCTGTTCCAATTATTACCTTTGAAAGTTCTACTATTAATATAATTAGCATTTCTATCCCAGGATGAGATTTTTAATAATTTTGTCACCAAATCTTTTTGTCCATTCTGTTATGTCTATAGAAATATGCTTAGTAAAGAATACAAGATTCCTGACTGTATTTTCAGCCATATTTTTACATCATTGATGAGTAGGTTTTATAATGCATGTTAGCAGCATATACATGTTTGTGGGGAAGTATTTCATTTACATTTATATTGTACCTCATCCATTTAACTTTTTCATCATAGCTTTCACTTGGTATTCCAGCTGAAGGAGATATTCACTTGTGGTTTATACCAACACTGGAAGTTTTTAAGAAGAAACTGGACAGCCATTTGTCCGAAATGGTATAGGGTTACCTGCCTGAGCAGGGAGTTGGACTTGATGACCTCCAAGGTCCCTTCCAACTTTACTATAATTATTATTATTAATTGGCAGAAAGCTATATACTTGATGTATTAATGAAAGTCTACTGATGTCAGTTTTCTTTTGTGTAAAAATATCATATACATAACTATGTAATAAACCAATATATATATAGGCAGTCCTGCCAGCTAAATAGATGATTTAAAACAAAACTTCCTGCCAATTCACATACCTGTTGAAAGTCAAATGGGAAAAAATGTTCTTTTGTTTAGTCCAAATAATTTGTGGTAGTAATAAAATTACAAAAATTACATTTTTACAGGAAATGTAAAATATTCTGTGTAGAGACAATTATGTGCATTATACAGCTGTTTGTACACAATCTTAAAAGATGATGCAATAAAAGTGCTACACTCAATTTGCCAGCAAATTTGGAAAACTTAACAATGGCCACAGGATAGGAAAAGGTCAGTTTACATTCCAATTCCAAAGAAAGGCAATGCCAAAGAATGTTCAAACTATTGCACCATTGCACTCATTTCACATGCAAGTAAAGCTATGCTTAAAATCCTACAAACTAGACTCCAGCAGTATGTGGATCAAGAACTTCCAGAAGTACAGGCAGGATTTCGAAGTAGCAGAGGAACTAGAGATCAAATTGCCAACATACTCTGGATCATGGAGAAAGCTAGGGCATTCCAGAAAAACATCTACTTCTGCTTCATTGACTATGCTAAAGCCTGTGATTGTGTGGATCACAAAAAATTGTGGCAAGTTCTTAAAGAGATGGGAGTACCAGACCATCTTATTTGTCTCTTGAGAAACCTATATGCGGGTCAAGAAGCAACAGTGAGAACTGGACACGGAACCACTGATTGGTTCAAAATTGGGAAAGGATTCTGGCAAGGCTGTATTCTGTCACCCTGCCTATTTAACTTATATGCAGAGCACATCATGAGAAAGGCAGGGCTAGATGAATCAAAAGGTGGAATTAAGATTGCCGGGAGAAATATCAACAACCCGAGATATGCAGATAATATCACTCTAATGGCAGAAAGTGAAGAGGAACTAAAGAGCCTCTTGATGCGGGTGAAGAAGGAGAGTGCAAAAGTTGGCTTGAAACTCAACATTAAGAAAACCAAGATCATGGCATCTGGCCCTCTGAACTCCTGGCAAATAGATGGGGAAGAAATGGAGGTAGTGACAGACTTTATCTTCCTGGGCTCCAAGATCACCGCAGATGGGGACTGCAGCCAAGAAATTAAAAGATGCTTGCTCCTGGGGAGGAAAGCTATGGAAAATCTAGACAGCATACTAAAAAGCAGAGACATCACCCTGCCAACAAAAGTACGTATAGTCAAGACCATGATTTTCCCAGTTGCAATGTATGGTTGTGAAAGTTGGACCATAAGAAAGGCTGAGCATCAAAGAATTGAGGCCTTTGAACTATGGTGCTGGAGAAGACTCCTGTGAGTCCCCTGGTTTGCAAGGCGATCAAACTGGTCAGTCCTAGAGGAGATCAACCCTGACTGCTCTTTAGAAGGCCAGATCCTGAAGTTGAAACTCAAGTACTTTGGCCACCTAATGAGAAGGAAGGACTCACTGGAGAAGAGCCTAAGGCTAATATTGAGGGCAATAGAAGAATGGGATGACAGAGAATGAGGTGGCTGGATGGAGTCACTGAAGCAGTAGGAGTGAGCTTAAATGGACTCCAGAAGATGGTAGAAGACAGGAAGGCATAGAGGAACGTTGTCCATTGGGTCGCAATGGGTCAGACACGATTTCGCAACTAACAACAACAATAGAGCTGTTTTCATGTGATCTGTACAGAATCAAAGCACTTATTTAGTTCATGCACTGAGAACAGCATAATTCACTGATTTTTCCCATCTATCCAATGGACATTAATTCATGTGCTCCATTCCCAAATCTTCCCTACATCATCCTTTACATTCTCCCTCAGTTGCCACTACTAGTCTTATAGCACAACATATTTCATGGCTGACCTGTCCATCCCTAACTCATTCAAGCACCTTCTCTCATGCATGGGTACAAGGGAGTGTTGGCTACATTCCACAGTATGCTCTTCATTTATTTCAGAGATCAAGAAAACTCAAAGGGCTTGATCTGTGTTCCACATGTCGACTGTAGATAGGCTGAGGAATATACTGTGCTGGGATATCTGGAAGGCAGCTGGCGGGAAGTAGGGAAGAGGAGGCACTGCAAAAGTGTGGAGTAGTGGTTGGCCATTGGAGTAAGCCTCAGTGGAAGCTATTAAGGGGGAGAGGGGATAGTGGGGCAATGCACATCAGCCTTCCATCACTTGACCCATTCAGATTTGATTTTACCTAAACTCCACAACAGTCAAACAATTGAAATTGTTTGGCAGAACTTTTGATATCGTATTCTAGTTTCAAAACAAAACAGATTTTCTGTTTCCTGTATACTCTTAATTTTTTACATTGGTAATGTCACATCTCATCTAAGGAGTTCAAGTGTGCGTATGCAATGGTTCATATACCATATATTTGCAGCAAACAGGTTAAATTAGATTGGGAGTGTATGACTGACCTGGACAGGGATTTCAACTGTAATATCACATGCTCTTTGGAAAAACACCCATTTATTTTTATGCAATGGCATATACACTGTCTTGTCCTGTGATTTTGGTAGTGTAAATTCTACTTCAAAGCAAGATGGAAGGACTTCTGCAGATATAATGCATAACATTTATTTCATTTTGTTCAGTTGGATCTGCTAGTAACAATGTTTCAATTTCAGGTTTAATGTGTTTGACTAAAGATCAGCACACTGACAGTTACCTTAAAATCAACTGATTGCAAAAGTATAATATGTATTTCCCCTCTCTTCACAGCAAATATTGTGAAAGTAGGAATTGTTTCCCTGACATAATTCTCAGAAAAGTATACTGCAGTTTTTGAATTATATTACTTAGCTTTCATTTGAAGTTCCCTAAAACCAAATCACAATTTTGTTTACTGTTTTTCGTTTGAAACACTTTGATACATGACTTCAGAGCTGTATAATTTACTGACTTTCTTCATTTAATTGACTTGAAGAATGAATTATCAGTTGAGAGTATATTTAGTGGTTATAGTCAGCAATCTCATTTGGTGACCTTATTTTACCTGATCTGTGGATCAAGATATGTGGATAATTGCATTTCATATAGGAATTTTTGGCTCCTAGAAATCTTTCAGAGAAAAAAGAATACTTTTCTTCAAAAATTGAGCATGCAGCTTGATTGGACTGTGCTTTCCCTGAATCAGAATAACACATTAGTGATTTGCACCTGAATAAATCTCAGATTCATTAAGTAAAGAGCAATGATACACTAGCATAATGCTATAGATTAACAGCATTTATTTTAATGGTCTTTCACTCAGAGAAGTTGTTATAATACCATATGCAATTATTCTGTATACTGGCAGCATGGAGATGATACAGTTTTCACTGTAAGTGCACATATCCATCAAGCAGGAAGGAAGAAGGAATGTTATTGTTTAAGAGGAGATATACCATTTGGTGATGCTTCAATTGAAACCTGTAATTTTATTTATTTGTCAAATTTGTATCAATGG